TCCCTGGGTTCCAACCAGAGCTGTCAAGTGCTCATTCACTTCTGATTTCCTGAAAAATGTGCCCCCTGAGCCCCTCACACACAATGATGCTCTTTATCTGTGCCATTTTTTTTTTTTTTTTTTGGAGAGGGAGTCTTACTCTGTTGCTCACCTGAAGTGCAGTGGCGCAAACTTGGCTCACTGCAATCTGTGAAGCCATTCTCCTGTCTCAGCCTCCCGAGTAGCTGAGATTACAGGCGCGCACCACCACATCTGGCTAAATTTTTTTGGTATTTTGGTAGAGACTAGGTTTCACCATGTTGGCCAGGCTGGTCTCAATCTCCTGACCTCAAGTGATCCGCCTGCTTAGGCCTCCCCAAGTGCTGGGATTACAGGCCTGAGCCACCGTGCCCAGCCTCTGATACCATTTTTAATGGTTAACTTCCCAACATTAAAAACCACGTTGGACGGAGGCTAGGTTGGCTTTGACCTTGAGGGGTATAGAGTGGGCAAGGTGACCCAATGGGACTTGGCGTGGTGCATGTTTTTCCCTAACCAGATAGAATTTGTGTCTTCCTATTTAGTACGTCTCAGACATTGTATGAAAATCTGTGTTGGGGAAGGGGTTTGGGGGATTTCCACATTTAGAAAGGGCCACAGGCCTACTTCATCACTCCCTGCTTCAGTCACAGCAATAGTTCCTGACCCTAGCAGGGCATGAAAATCACTTGGGAAACTTTTACAAAATAAGAATCAGTGCCTCGGCCCCTCCCCAGGCCAGTTAAGTGGGAAGCTCAGGGGGCAGGGCCTTGGAAATCAGTAGCGTCGAAACTCCTTGGGTGATGCTAAGATGAAGCCAGGGCTATGAACTGCAGAGCTGGCGCGGAGCTGGAGGGAAGACGTTAACTAGGGCTGTGTGCAGCACAGAATCTGGCTCTTCTTGATAAAGGGATTGCTGATCTAAAATTTTTTTTTTTTAGTTATCTTTCATGTTGTAAAAGGCTTTTAAAGAGCTTTTTCTCTCCTGGTTAGACACAGGAATACATGCACTGGATACCAGCCCTTTTGTGCTGGACTAATTGCCCAAGGACAACAGGTAACCTTATAATTATTGGTTTGCACAGACAAGTATGTGTCCCCAAGTCAGACCACCCCTGACTCATCTCTCTGCCTCACGGGCCACATACACCCCAGGTCCCCTCCATACCCACCACATACTTACCTCTTGAACAAGGGAGATGCCCTAGAGTCAGGCTTCTGCTTGGCCAGGTAAGGGATGAACATGAGGCCTGGGACCTCTGGCAGGCCCCTCAACTCACCTGAGTCCTGCTGTTTCTCCTGCTTCAGGGTCATGGGAGAGATTAACAGCTGCATGACACCGCTGGGGCATATTATGCAGGCCAGCTGCGGCCAGACCGACGGGACCTGGGGGGTCCCTGCATCCTGGGCTAGCAGGATGGCCACACCCATACAGTGTTCTCCCATCTCTGTAGGTCTGAATCTTGGTCACTTGCAGACAGCTCCTATATCCCTGGCCAGAATCTTTCCCCTTTATATGGCCCTTCCTTGTGGGTTTTTTTTTTTTTTTTTTTTTTTTTGACACAGGGTCTTGCTCTGTCACACGGGCTGCTGAAGTGGCTGAAGTGCAGTGGCTCAATCTCGGCTCACTGCAGCCTTGAACTCTGCCTCCCGGGTTCAAGCGATCTCCTGCTTCAGCCTTCCAAGTAGCTGTGACTACAGGCTCATGCCACCATACCTGGCTAATTTTTGTATATATATATATATATTTAATAGAGACAGGGTTTCACCATGTTGCCCAAGCTGGTCTCAAACTCCTGGGCTCAAGTGATCCTCCTGCCCCGGCCATCAGAATGTTGGGATTACAGGTGTGAGCCACCATGCCAGGCTTTTTGTGGCATTTCTTAAGGCTTCCTATTTGATTATGGTGTGTCTGTGTGCACATGTACATAACCTGCTTTTCTCTTTTTCCCAACCACACAGTGAACCTCAGAAAGCAGAGATTGCACCTTAGTCTCAGAAATCACCCCATAGTGGGCCAGGCATGGTGGCTCACGCCTATAATCCCAGTACTCTGGGATGCTGAGGCTGGCAGATCACTTGAGTCCAGGAGTTCAAGACCAGCCTGAGCAACATGGCAAAACCCCATCTCTACAAAAAATACATAAAAATTAGCTGGATGTGGTGGCGCGTGCCTGTAGTCCTAGCTACTCAGAGGACTGAGGTGGGAGGATCGCTTGAGCCCCTGAGGCGGAGGTTGCAGTGAGGCGAGATTGCGCCACTGTACTCCAACCAAGGTGACAGAATGGGACCCTGCCTCAAGGGCCATGGCAGGTACTGAATGGATGAGTGAAGCTCTTGAGTCAGCCTGGAAGGAGAGACCCTTATAGGAAGAGGCCCCTTATTGTCTCTCACTCCACTAAGAAGGAAGCTCCTTGAGGGCAGAGATCTTGATTCAGTTCACCATTGTGACCCTGTGCCTAGAATAATGCCTGGCACGAGGTAGACCCTTAAACATTTCTTGAACTGCATTCTCCACTTAGCAGTTCCTAAAGAAACAGGAACCGCAAGTTGAACTTGACATGTCAATGTCTTTCCCCATTAGCAAAATTTTGGCTCATCAATGTTGACCTAATTTTGTCTCTTGCCAAAAGAAAAATAATAAAAAAAAATAAAAAAGGCATCCCTGAGGTGGGAGTCATTGATTTGACCTGCACCCATGTGCAGGCCCTGTTTTGAAGGGCAGAAGCCCAGTGGTGGAGGACGTCCCTACAGTCTTGGAGACCGTCTGCACAAGGCAGGGAGCTGGGTGGCTACAATGAACGTTTATTTATGGAGAGCCCCCTGTGCGACAGGCAACAGGTTTTAACTTCCTCTTCCCAGTGGCCTGATGGAGTAGAAACTGGCGTGCCTGCTTCCTACAAGAGCAAACTGGTTCCCCGCAATGGAAGGACTCGCAGCTCCCAAGCTCTGAAGCCTTGCGGTGCGGGGCGACTGCCTGGCCAGGACTTGCTCCCTCCGGCCAGGGCACCGTCCTTCCATGTTCCTTACCTTTCCCTCTTCCCATCCTCCGCCTCCCGCTGTTGAGAAGACCCTTTCAGAATTTAGTTTTCAAGGAAGTCTGATGTTCTTGTGCTTTCTGACGCCACTGACAGCTGCCAGCCACCAGAGGGCCACATCTTAAATGTCTGTTTTTGAAGAAAAAAAGTGTCCTTTTTGGTTTGGTTCAAATTTTCCTAAAAATTCAAGCCAACTGCTCTGTCAAGCTGATCAGAGACCTACCCTGAGTGTGGTAGGGTCAGTGGTGTGGTGGGGGTGATGCCTCTAGACTGGCGCTATGGGAAGGACACATTTGGGAAAACTGAGGAAAAAGAATTTCCAGCCAACCTCTCCAACGAAAATGTCTCTCGCCGCAATAGCACTGCCAGCTTCCCCAGCCTCTGGGGCCTCACTTCCCACCATCAGTCCTCATATTTCTCTGTGGCTGTTTGCTTTTCAGGGCTTCTATGCAAACCTGGCCATTTCCAGGAACAGCTGAGGTGTCACTTATGTTGGGGGGACCAATGGGCTTAACTTTGTCTTCTTCCTTTGCCATTTGGGTGGCATTCTAATGGTTTTAACTGAGGACCCAGAAAGAATCCTCACCCAACTGAAAAGCCTTCAGCTCTTAAGAAATCTGAGGGTGTGGTGGCTCAAGCCTGTAATCCCAGGACTTTGGGAGGCCAAGGTGGGCGGATCACCTGAGGTCAGGAGTTCGAGACCAGCCTGACCAACATGGAGAAACCCCATCTCTACTAAAAATACAAAATTAGCTGGGCATGGTGGCGCATGCCTGTAATCCCAGTTACTTGGGAGGCTGAGGCAGGAGAATCGCTTGAACCTGGGAGGCGGAGGTTGCGGTGAGCTGAGATTGCACCATTGCATTCCAGCCTGGGCAACAAGAACAAAACTCTGTCTCAAATAAAAAGAAAAAAAAAAAAAGAAACCCAAATAAACAGGGCCACCCTTACCCCCAGAGGCCCCCTCACCACCATTCCCAGCCCGACAGTTTCCCCTCCACAGCCACAGGCCGCCAGCCCCAGCTCCAGGAGGTGCTGTGCAGTCCCACAGGAGGCCATTAAACCGGCTGATGGGGTCTGAGGCCCAGATTCCCAGGTGACTCATCAGGAAATGGCCTCTCAGATGCCAGCACAAGCTGAGGGCCCCAGGCAAAGGGAGGGGCTGAAACTCTTTTGTGGAGCCCCGTCAGGGATAGCACACAGGCCACTGGGCAGCTGACCTGCCATCACCGTGTTAGGGTGGGTCCCCAGGTGGAGAGATATGAACACCCTACTCCCTTAGCCATCTGCACGTCCTCGAGCAGAATCCCATTCCCCAGATCCTGAAAACACCTGCCCTGGTCAAAAGCACAGGCAGCTACTGTCTAAGAGAGCAGGAGACATTTGTTCCAAGGTCAGGACCAAGCCTCTTCTGCCACCCCACCAAAACATGGCTCCCAAATTCCGGCTCTCCTTCCCCAAGGCCAATAAGTGGCTCTCAACCTCCATTTAAAATGCTTTCCACTCAAGGTCTAAAATAAGGGGTTGCAGATCTTAGTTGTTCCCAGCCCCAGAATGCATGCCGCATGCTGGGTTTATCACCAGAATGCTTCTGACTTACTGTCCCACCACACCTGCAGCCAGAATCTGACCTTTCCCCCCAGAATTCTGAAGCTCATGGGGAGAAAGCACAAATTCAGAGCTGGCATGCGAGTCCTGTACTTACAGAGACCTCTGGGGACTTCGCAGACCCAGGGACTGGATAAGCCTTAGGAGCCTTCTTTGCAGGGAGTGGAGAAGAGGCAGGCCTGGCTCATTAACCTCCGAGGCCAGGTAGAGGCACTTCTGTCACCTTCTGAGGAGCCCCCAGGCTGTGCCTCAGCTAAGGATATTCCCAGGAAAGGCCTGAGAAAGGTTTCTGCTCCACTGAAGGACTGAACAAAGGGGGCACATGGCACTCTGGGAGAACATTCCAGAAATTTACTGGCTACAGACAGGGGTGGTGGTGAAGGAACCATCCTAAACAGAGTAAATGCACAAGTTACTGTACAGACAGGAACATGCAGAACACATCCACCAACGCTCTCCCACCCTCTCCCTTCTCCCACAAGCACCACACAGAGTGACTTGAGAAAAGCAAAAATGAAAAAAAGGAAAATAATCAGTCAACTGAAAAACGCAAAGAATTCTCCCCCACTGAGTTTCTAACACAAGTTACTGATCAAGTGAGAAAGGCTGTACTTTGCCTCTTTCCTTTCTTTCTAAAATACACAGTATTTGAAATTTCTGGTTGAAAAACACACAGTAGATGACAGACACTGAGGTCAACAGGGGCCCACATTATCCCGCTCAGCTGCCTGCTGAGCTCTTCAAAACTGTGTATCTCACTGTCATTTCCGATGCCCACACAAGCACAAACAATGCACAAAATCAGGGTAATCCAGTTCCACTAGAGAGCTCCCGGCAGCCCGTGGCAGGCCTGAAGGTCTCTGGGCAGCAAGTACCAGCAGAGGCAAGCCCAGATAGGGAAGCCACATAGAACTGGGACATACTTACACTAGGAACTTCTTCACTGTTTATCCGAAATGCAAACTTAATTGAGTGTCCTATATTTTTATTTGCTAAGTCTGACCCAGATGAAGGGGCCTTATCTGCAGGCCATAAAGCCCTGAGTGCCGCCTGAAAGCCTGCCTAGGCCAGGTCTGCTGAGGCCACCAAAGCATATGTTCTGATACTGAAGTCCCCTCTGGGATCACTGGCTCCCCACTTCCTGCTCAAACAGAAGCCAGTGTCCAGGGCAAACGTTTTTGCCCTCCCCATCCCCAAGAAATAGAAGCTCAAGGGCAAAGGCAGCCGGGCGTACAGTGTGCCAGTGCAGCTGGGTTTCTGCCAGCACCCCCTCCCTTTTTCTTTTTAAAGATCTGGCCTTCGTTATTCACAGTACATCAAATTTCCACCCCCTTCTCAATGTTTCCCTGCTGCTGTGCAGCTCTGAAAGTTTCTGTCTTTGAAGGAACAGCCCTGAGTCTCATCTCATCCTGGGAGACATTATTCTCCTCCACCTTCTTTCAGACTGAATGCCTATTAAGGGCCCCCATGGTGAATCACGGAGTCTGAATCTAGGCACATGGAGCTGTTCGAGAGGATGTGGGGAGGAGCTTGGCACAGGAGGCCAAAGCAAAGCATCTGCTCATTCACATATCTGCTGAGCGATCCGCTGTGGGCCAGAGACCCCAGGGAGGGCACACAGGAGAAGCTTATTTCAAAAACCAAGGTTAGGACAGGAAAATATCCTCTTTCCCTGGGTTAGCAACTTAGAACAACGAGTACTTCATTTAGGTGATCCGGGCCAAGAGGAAAAAAACCCAGCCCACTTTTAAAGCATTATGCACAACTTTGGGAACAAATCAGTGCTTGATTTACCTCAGATATTCCAGCTACCTAGCACGGCCCAGCACAAAGAGGTTTTGAAATGATCTGCTGAAATGGAAACTTGGCTGATAAATACATGTGACCTCTCTAGCCAATCACAAGTTATGTGTGTAATGAGGCAAAAAAGCAGCACAGACCACTTGAAATCTCTTTTCAGGACACTTTAGTAATTTGTAACTTTTTTCCTTTCAGTTGGAAACAAGTGGCAGAAAGATAGATTTATTTCCTTCCTGTCCCTGCCCTGTGAGGGATACCAATATTATGGAATAGTCAGAAGATGGCGGGAGATGGGATGACTTCTGGATTCAGCGTAGGATAAAGGATGGGGGATATTTTCTTACATAGTTCTAGACAACTCCTGTTTAATGAGATGCAGGAACAAAAGCCCAATTCTGATATAAAACGCACATTTCTATCAAGAATTTTATATGTAACACTCTCCCCCTATTTGCTGATGCAGGGCTCAATTCCTCTCCCAGCTGACTGAGGCTAAGGGAGAGTTCCCAGTCAGCGTGGGGACTGCCAAGACTTTGGCAGGCCTGGGGCAACCCGCCAGCCCAGGGCTTCATTTTGTGACTCAGCATTCAGTATCCTAAAGTCACTTCCTGAGTGGCATGCTAGAAATGTGGCAAGTGATGTGAACTACCTAATGAACTAGACAAAGGTTCTGGTGCCTAATAGAGAAAAAGGATAGTAGAGATCCAGTCTAAAGCAGGAGGGTGTTGGCAGAGCTACATATGATTGCTAAATTTAGTATTAAGGGTTCTGGCTAGGTGCAGGCAAGGGTAAAAATCCAAAGAGAAAAATCACCCTCAGGTTTTTTTTCGGTCAGCAAATGCTGGACACTGTAGAAAAGTCTATAGTTCTTTGCTTTAAAGTTACCTATTCTAGGATTTAAATTATGCATCAGAAGAGTAACAGTGGCTGCCAAATTGTCCTTAAGAGGCTCTAATTAGACTATAAGTTCGTGGAGGACAGGAGCTGGGTCTGCATCCTGGCCCCAGTGTAAACGGGCGCTTCCTGCTCTTTGAGGAGTCCACCCGGCTCATGAGTTATTGATAAAGGCAAGGCATTTGTTGTGGCAGAGCTCACCAGTTTCGCTTCAGTTTTCCCTCTGAAGTTGGGGAGTCAAGGGTTTTTTTTGTTGTGGTTGGTAAGCCAAAAGAAGAGAATCTGTGAAATTAAATCTCCAGGCCTCTGAAAAGGATCCAGATCAAGTCAGTACTTTCCTTTGAGGGTTTCAGTGAGTTTATTATGAGCCATTCTGAGACAGGAACAAACCTTGACAGCCTCCAAGTGTCCCCGATTTCATTAGAAAGATCGAAAGCTCACATCTGGAAGACAAGAGACGCCTAGTGCCACTTTCTCTTAGTCTCTCTGGGTAAATAGTGAAATCCTGGCCCAACATCTAAGGAAAGAGTTAGTTCTCTGAAAAAGTGAACTGAATATGAGTTTTTAAGCCAATAACCTGTCACAGGGTCATGACTTCTGGGCATAAGCTGTAATCATGGGTACATGACAACCTGATGTTGTAGCCTTGCAAATTCAGCCTGTTTCGCATCTCTGCACAATCCGAGGCCTGTGCCCAATCACAGAATCAGCTGGTAGGACAAGAACTGGGATTTGCTCCATCCGAGGCCTGGCCCTTCTGGTATGAACCTAGTTATCTTATTTCTCCTACAAATGACTCTCTCAGCAAGTCCTCAACTGCCAACCAGTGACCACTTTTCTCCCAACTCACAGCTCCCCTAGCAGCGTAGCTCAAGGTCTGGCTGCTTGCTTGTCTCTCCCTTCTCATTTTAGGACTCATCTACAGGTCAAAGAACCTCATCTCCCCGGATGCAGGGCTGGTGTGCAGTTCTCTCTGGGACAAGTAGAACTGCACGATGCAAGGAAAGGCAAATCCACGATTCTCATGGGATAGTGAAGAAGAGATAAGCCAGGAGCAAACACATTCACAACTTGAGCCTTCTCATTTGTGGCATTGTTATATTTCTATCTGCAAGTAAAATCTAGCATTAGAAAAACAAAGCACTAAGTTGCACTTTATGAAAAGTCCACTGAGTACTCTTATGTTTATTTTTGAGACAGAGTCTCACTCTGTTGCCTAGGCTGGAGTGCAGTGGCATAATCTCGGCTCACTGCAACCTTCGCCTCCCAGGTTCAAGCAAATCTCCTGTCTCAGCTTCCTGTGAAGCTGGGATTACAGGTGCCTGCCACCACACTCAGCTAATTTTTGTATTTTTAGTAGAGATGAGGTTTCATAATGTTGGCCAGGCTGGTCTCGAACTCCTGACCTCAGGTGATCCACCTGCCTCGGCCTCCCAAAGTGCTAGGATTACAGGTGTGAGCAATCCCACCTGGCCAGGAGTACTCTTTTTTAAAAAGCACTATTAAATCATTTGATTAGCTTAAATCAGCACATTTAAGCAGGGCACAACTTGCTAAATCAAGTCCTCTAAAGGGCTCACGTTTCAAGACTTTCTAGTAAAGCTCAATTGAAGATAGGGTGACAAGATGAGACTAGAGGAGGAAGGCAGAACACAGCTCCACTGACCCTCAGGCTGCATCCTTCCTGGAACATGGAATCCTACCGATAAGCAGCAGTTGGTCCCATTATCTACAGATTATTTCTTCCCAAAAGAAAAGGTAACAATTATTTTAACAACTGGGGGACGGTGGGGATGACCACACCGTGACAAGACAGAAACTTCTCCTTACAAGCAAAGGCATCTTTGGGGACCCTTTGGGGATCTTAACATTCTGCTGGGAAAGAGTCTACCTCAGGGATCCATCCATCAAACCAGCAGAGCAGACCGCTGCCCAGTGTCTCAAGGCTCGTTGGCCCATTAAGGAACAAACACGACCTAATATCCTCTCTGGTTTAGTTCAGGGCTTTGGGATTGTTGGTGGGGGAAACGGAGCAAATGATGGGTGACAACTACTGCTCAGGGAGCAAACACCCACAGTGCTGATGCCATGTGGTGGTCTGGATTCTGTACACTGCAGACTCAGCATGTGACCCATGAGCTTGCCTGGCCAATTGCCTTCATGAGTGGGGAAGAGCGATGGGGGTCGTCTGAGCAGAGGAACTGACCACCAGAGAAGGGAAAGACAGGTTTAAACTTATTTCTAGGAGGGATGTGTATAAGCCTGAGCAGTCAACTCACAGTGGAGCAGTTACAGAGGAGTGCAGTGGCAAGGTTTACCCCTTCCTCAAGTACAAGTTGGGGCACCTGCAACCTTCTTTCTTAAGGCTTTTTCTAGGTCTATGCTTTTATCTCCACTGGGATTACAAGAGAACAGCAAACTGATGAATCCTACAATCAGAGCTGATGATTTGGGGGATGGTCTTGGACCATCTGGACTTAAGTCACACCCAAGAAGAGGAGGACATGGAGTGCTTGATATTTCACACACAAATCTTACATCTTCTAAGGCTGAGGTTGACTTTCACATTCAAATAAAAATGTGAAAATGAATCGTGACTCTGCTATATAGAATATTGTAACTAAATAAAAGTAACTCCCAAAGCCTTTGTTTCCTGGCTCATTTTGGGTAAATTTTTAATTATTTAAGGTCAATTTAACCAAATAATGAATATCTACATAGCCTCTCATTCCCTGGCCCAAGAGCTAGTGACAGCATTCCCCATTACACAAATAAAAATGTAAACAAAATTTCAAAGGAAAAAAAAAAGAAAATAAAAGAATGTTGAAAAGAAATACAAATCAAAGAAATTTATTGGTGTTGACAAAAATACATAATACAGAAACCAAAACAAAACACAACGGAAACAAAACCAGAAACCCCACCCTAGTGGGCCCATGTGCCTGATGTACTGACAGTGTGCCGACCCAGATGTCCCCAAAGCATGGCACTTAATTCATGAGGACCTCCATCTGCACCAGCCTCGCATTGGTGTCCCCAGACGTTCGGTAGGGTATCATTCCAGCAAAGGTAATCAGAGTTCGGGCTTGACTTCGGAGTTGCTGAGAGAAAAGGGAAGGAAGCAAAGGAAATTGGTTAACTTTTGAGTCAGGGCACTATTCCATGTTCTTCCATCCTCCACCCTGGGGTGTCAGGGACAGATCCCTGGTGGGTGGATGACAGTCGTACCCTCCTCTGTCGTATTCCTTCAGCATGACACAAAGTTAACAAAGCTCGTCCCCCGAGGCCCCTGTTCCACAGGCATCCAAACCCATTTACTAAGCAAAAAGCAGATGGGTTTGCCAGGCAAGCCGCCTCGCCCCAACACATTTGGCTAGCTTTTGACACAGCCCTGAGCTTCAGAACTGCCTGCTCCAATTTTCAGAGCCTCTCTCTCTGGCTGGTTTCTGTCCATCTGCTTTCACAGGGATCTGAGTCTCCAGAGCCCCATGAAGCCCTTGTAACACCGGAGGCAAGGGCTGTGACTGTGCAGTCCCACGTCGGCTTTCTTCCTCCCATGCATCTTTCCTCTTCCTTCCTTTCGTTCCTCCTGTTTTCTCCCTTCCTGATATACATGCTTAGCCCTTCTTTCCCCAGGCAACAGTATTTATGGAATTCCTGGATTGTTCCAGGAGGGAAAAAGGTGGCCCTACAAATTTAAACCAAATCTGGACTAGAAAGGGAGAATCTACAAACACCTTTCTGGACTAGTAACAAGAATTTAAAGAAAAACTGAAGAGTCATCTACTAGGCTTACTTAAGGACCATTCCAGAAGAAAATTGAAAAGCAAATGCTTTTTACCTGATGTGTAAAACAAACTAGCGAGTGCATGTCCTTACTAATGTCCAAACAAAAAGAAATCTGACTTTGTGATAGGAATACCCATTGTATTTTCTTTAGAAGTGAATGAAAGTGCATGGGCTCTTTGAAATGAGCTCTAGGGATGTTCAAGTAAAAGGATTCACTCCCTTACTGGGCAGTATCTCACTTTAAACCATGAAACCAAGGACATCAGTGGGCTTGCAGACCTCTTGGGCACGCAACTTTTATATATAACCTTTTACTTAATCCTATTCGCCCCTACCTTTCAGAAAAAGAAAGAAAAAGGAGAGTGGTGGGCAAAAGGCAGGCAGGAGAATGATCTTCAGACATGGGACATGGCCTGCCAGAGACCAGCTCCTCTCAGTGGGCAAGCCTGCCTGAACTGTAAGTGGCACACAGAGCACCAAGAAGTATCCACTATCTCAATACTCACATTCACAAACATCACTGCACTGGGTTTCTATTATCAAAAAAGATTCCTGCCAAGTGGTAGGCACCATGAGCCCACCGCTGGCACATCTGGCGTTTAGATTCCTATCTGTCCAGGGTAGGGAGAAGACCAGCAAATGCTCTGGTGCGCACCTGGACGGGCTGACCACTTCAGTGGACCACTCTTGAGCACTGTTACCCACATTCCTAAAGGTGGAAATTTCCACCATCTTTCACTAAGCACAAGTTTTATCAACAACAATGCCTGTGGGGTCACAGTGGAAAGAGCTCACAGACATCCTCAGAGGCAGAAGACAGAACATGGCTTCTTGGCTGCCAAAACCAAGTCTGATGTTAGACACTGAGATCCTGAGAGTCTCATCAAAAATTAAGCGGAAATGTTAAAGGAAAGGTAATTTTAAAAAACATCATTGTGGGGCTGGGCACGGTGGCTCACACCTATAATCCTAGCACTTTGGGAGGCCGAGGTTGGGGGGATCTCTTGAGCTCAGGAGTTCGAGATCAGTCTGGGCAACATGGCAAAACTCCATCTGTATATAAAGTACAAAACTCAGCTGGGTGTGGTGGTGCACACCTGGAGTCCCAGCTACTTAGGAGGGTGAGGTGGGAGGGTGGCTTGAGCCCAAGAGGTGGAGGCTGCAGTGAGCTGAGATCATGTCACTACATTCTAGCCTGGGCGACAGAACCAGGCCCTGCCTCAAAAAAAAAAAAAAAAAAAGAAAAGAAAAGAAAAGAAAAGAAAACACCATTGTACTATCCCCTTATGGTTTAATTGGGTCAAAAAATACCTTTGCTCTTTTTTTTTTGTAATCAGACAACATATGCTGTGAGCCCCAGGGTTCTAGCTACCTGGATTCCACTTGACCCACGCACTGCCAGAGGTCCCACAGGCAGCAGAAAGGGCACAGGTGTCAGAGACCCAGCCTCCAGACATGGCCCCTTCACCTACCTGCCACCTGAGGGCAGTTGCTTCCCAACTCCACAGCTCAGTTTCCTCAGCTGTGAGAGGGGATAAGATGCTGTGCTAGTTACCTCTCTAGGGTCACTGTGAACACCGTGACAGGAGAAACAAGGGTTCACATTAAATTAATGTGTTGATCAAAAATAAAGTATGGTTTTAATAAAAGTGTTCACTAATGAGCTAGGACTAACAAAATAAACTTATCTTTTAAAATGTGCAGGAAGTTCTTAAGGAGTCAACTAGAAATTAGCATTCTGTGTGATCTGTTAAAAGGTAAGATTTGCAGACCTAGCACTTCTTTTTATTTTTTTAAGCTTGAGAAGAGCAGCAATCCCTTTAATGTTTGATTTCCTCTGGGAGCCCCCTAACACGAGATTTATCCAGCTGCCAGGTACTAAGGAGAAAGAGCAGTTTTGGGTCACGTGGTCTCTTAATAAGAGTGCAACGGATTCCAAACCAGAAAGGTGGTGCTCAGCAATGTTTCTCGTGAATGCTGGGATCTTACAGAGTCGCGGTCCTCGATGACTCTCTGGGGCCTGGATGATGAGGATGGACTTGTCCCCTTGAGCCTCTTAAACTGTGTGAACAAGATGTTCATGGTGGCAAGAAGCACTTCTGAGAGGTTGTGCCTGATCTACACAGAGAGAAAAACGGAGTAAAGAACAAGAACCAACCCTTTCGGGCCAACCACAGATGGAGGGAGGGTGGGCTGCTCCAGGCGGGCCTGGTTGCATCACTCCTCACCATTACCAGGTGGAGAGCCACACAGTCACCCAAAAGGAGCTGATGGCACTGAAACATCAAGTGTGAGAAAAAACCCCAAGCAATGCTCCTCAGGTCAGGTGGTTACTGTTTCTGCTCCTTTATGCTGTTTATGCTGTTTTTCCCTTAGTCAGGGGCAGCAAGCCAAAAAAAGCATGCTGACATCTGGTTAGCATTAGGCTTAGACTGGCCAGCAGAGTGGATGCCAATACATAATTTGAATTTGAATGTCAGGAGGTACAGGTGCACATGCTACTTCTCCACAGTCCCTACCACTCCCCACTCTCTCAAAGTCAGTGGGCTGTTTCCACTGGATCTGCATGGCCCTACCAGAGTCCTTGGGAGTGTCTACAAGGGCAGGCCCTGGTGTACTACTTTAATCTCTGATGCAATGAAGGATGTATTCAAGGAAAGGCTAGAAATAACAAAGGAGCAAGTGGCTAAGGGTAGAAACCACAGCAGGTATAAAGGGAAAGTCAGCAAGGGGTAAGACCTTCTGAACTGTGTGTACCACAGTAGTCAACATCCCTCTTCATGTGCAGAACTGGCCTTACTTCTTTCTCTAAAACAGAAACTTTTTTTTTTTTTTTGAGACAAAGTCTCCCTCAATCGCCCAGGCTGGAGTGAAGTGGCGCAATCTCAGCTCACTGCAACCTCTGCCTCCTGGGTTCAAGCGATTCTCATGCCTCCGCCTCCTGAATAGCTGGGACTACAGGCATGCACCACCATGCCTGGCTAATTGTTATATTTTTTAGTAGAGACGGGATTTTACCAAGTTGGCCAGGCTGGTCTCCAACTCCTGACCTCAGCTGATCCATCTGCCTCAGCCTCCCAAAATGTTGGGATTATAGGCGTGAGCCATCGCACCTGGCCAGAGACATTTTATAAAAGGCATCTGCTCAATGAGGAATAATTTTAAACTGAAAAACCACTAGTGACATCCCAGAGCCAGGCAGTTGGTTCTAGCATAGTGTTGAGAGCTGAGTTGAGTGTTTGTAGTTCTAGAGATGAATTTACCTGGGCCACACACTGGAATGACTCAGGGAGGTCTGGGCTGCAGCAGTCAGGGAAACCAGAATCTCTGGGGTCTGGGCATGAGAGTTCTTAGAAACTCTCCTAGAGATGCCAGTATGCAGCCCAGCTGAGCACCCTGGGCTAGATGTTGGCAATATGCTAGAAACCCGACAGACAGACAGTGGCTCTGGGGCTTATGGGGTGATAGTCACAGTCACTGAATTTGCTTCTTTAGACAAAACAGATCAGGGAGGGCAAAGGTGGCAGTGCATCATGATGTGTTTCATGTACCCAGTGGAACTACTTAAAGATGATCAGAGTTAAGCACCAAAATACCCTCTAGTACAAGTGGATAATAGAAGAATTAAACCAGACTTCACAGGATCAACCAGAAACCTGTTTCTCCCAAGAACATGTCAATCACTGAAATGACTGTATTTTCTCAATCAGGAATTCAGACAATAATCTGATGGGGATGTATGCACTTACAGAAAAGCCAGGCCAAGGTATTTGAAAGGGAACCACTCTGGAAAACTCAGTCTGGATAGTTACTGTAACTAGAACTCTTAAAGCTGTTAGGTACAGGAAAAGAAAAAGCTTTTGGTGGAAGTGGGGAAAAAGGAATTCCATAACTCAGGAAGAAGGAACTTACTTCATCACTGAAATTTCTGAAGGCAGCCACTCTCTCTTCCACACTTTCCTGATTCAGGGGCACCAGCTTCAAGCGCTCAATTATCTGTTTAAAACAACCACCAGCCCCATGTAAGACAATCATCACAGTCATTTCATCTCTCTACATGTAAAGTCAGCACCCTCACACACTCCAAAGGGCTTCTTCATAGAAAACACCATTCTCCCTTGTGTACACAGAAAGGCTTTGATTCTAACTAGCTAACTTAATTCTTATCCTCATTTTCTGACACATTTTTTAAAATTCAGAGATTTCAAATTACTTTGAGAAATGTATCTGTTTTCAGATTAAAGGGGAAAGGAATAGGGGGAAAAAATAAAGCAACACAGGAAATCCTTTTAAGTCCCAGGACTGTACTTGTCCTTCTTCATTTAACAAACATACTGGCAACAGCTCCTTTGTTTTAAGTAAATTCCATGCAGTGTTTTGAATTTTCAAGGGTGTACATTAACCTGCACTTCAAACACCTTTCCTGAAACTTACATCAAAAGCTCTATCAATATGACCACTATGATACTCGTCAAAAAAGGTGATCAAGTCCAAAAGAAGATAGAACGTGGAGTCCACAAATTTATTTGCACTTATTCCTTGAGCCCTATACCTGAAAGACAAAAAAGGGGTGGGGGGAGTGAGAGTGTATCAGGAATTTCTGTGTAATCCATAACTGTGGAATAGCATTTAAAAAGACAGTGGGGTATGGTTCATGTGGCTCATGCCTGTAATCTCAGCTACATGGGAGGCTGGGGCGGAACGACTGCTTGAGGCCAGGAGTCAGAGACCGGCCAGGAGTGAGAGACCAGACTGGACACACAGCGAGACCCCATCTCCACAAAATATTAAAATATTAGCCAGGTGTAGTGGTATGTGCCTGTAGTTCTATCTCCTCAGGAGGCTCAGGTGGGAGGATTGCTTGAGCCCAGGAGTTCGAGGTTACAGTGAGCTATGACTGCACCACTGCACTCCACTCCAGCCTAGGTGACAGAGGGAGACCCTGTCTCAACATACAAAAAATACATAAAAAGCATCAAAACCTCTTGAGCTCTCTGGGTGAAGTTAATTAAAGAGTGTAAAATGGTGTTTATTTTGAAACAGCCAAGCACTGATAGTGGATTTGGTATGAATCCACCTACAGGTACTCCACATGGAGCGTGGTTCTCCAGCCTTGACCATCATCTCAGCATCCAATCTTCATGAAAGGTAGAAGGTCCTGACGGGCAAAAAGCCGAGCGGCCATCACTAGGGATTGTTTGCTAGGTGGAGATATCTCATTTACCAAAGAATGCTCTTTTGTGTTACCCCGGGAAAGCACTCCAAACCCAGTTTTCTCTGGGTCATTTTATTAGCAATATCTATAGAGAGCACAAAAAGTAATGTTGTTAGCCTCAGCCTGGGACTTAAACTAGTTAAAAGTCTGATAATTCAGTTAACTCACTGGGGATCCAGGTTGTCTGAAACACTGGCCACGACACCTCTAAGAATCTCCCCCATCCAACTATCACTAGCTTTGGTCTTGAATGCCTTTGAGAGGGCTGATGAGAGTATACAACAGTATATAGGTGAGCATAATGCCTAGAATTAAACTTCATGTGCATGACTAAAATACTGAGATGCCCTTTCATACCCATTTCTTTGGCAAAAATGTTAAGTTTGATAGTACCAAGTGCTAGTTCTGATGTGGGGACAAAGGAACTCACGCAGTGCTGGTGGCATGATGAGTTAGAAGAACCACTTTGGAAAGCTGTCTGCTGTTACCTAGTAAAGCTGAACATGCATTTGGGTGGGCAAAGGTGGCCTGGCACTGGCAGTGGCACCCTCAGGGTCCCATGGAGTCAGCTCCTGGCTTACCGTTCAGCAATGGAGAGTGCCATGTTCTTCAGCCTCTCCTTGTTGGACTGCGGGGCACTGATCTGGGGGACGACAGGGCTCAGCAGTTTGTTCATCAGTTCCAGTACCTTGTCAGCATTCTGCTCACGTTTTTAAAATTAAGGAAGCAATCAATAAAATAATCAATAAAAGGAACAAGTATATAATGCCCCCTACCCACCAAAGAGAACTTTCTGGGGTGATGGATGGAAATGTTTGGTATCTTGATCTGGATGGTGGTTACAAAGATATACACCTATGCACAATTCGTCAAGCTGTACATATAATTATTGCACATTTTTCTACATCTTAATTATACCTCAATCAAAGCATTTTTTACCGCCTCCCAGGTTCAAGTGATTCTCGTGCCTCAGCCTCCTGAGTAGCTGGGATTACAGGCATGCACCACAATGCCTGGCTAATTTTTATATTTTCAGCAGAGACGAAGTTTTGCCATGTTGGCCAGGCTAGTCTTAAACTCCTGGCCTCAAGTGATGTGCCCGCCTTGGCCTCCCAAAGTGCTGGGATTACAGGCGTGAGCCCCTGCACTTGGCCTATAGCTGTTTTTTTGGTCTACTTTTCTCAGCTGATAAAGAAGAGAATGTAATCTTGTTTAGGTCATAGAATCCTTAGCAGCTACCATATGTTCTTAGTCATCATTTGTTCTTAGGTAGAAACATGTATTCTAGTCATCTCAAAATGCCCAGCTGTGGTCTTATTTTCTTTCACTCCTTCCTGCACACTGATGTGGTCTTATCTTCTAATACTACTGTTCCCCAGTGTGTCTGTGGCTGCCAGGGTCAGCATAATGCCATTTTCTTTTTTTTTTTTTTTTTTTTGAGACGGAGTCTCGCTGTGTGGCCCAGGCTAGAGTGCAGTGGCCCGATCTCGGCTCACTGCAAGCTCCACCTCCCGGGTTCGCCATTCTCCCGCCTCAGCCTCCGAGTAGCTGGGACTACAGGCGCCCGCCACCACGCCCGGCTAGTTTTTTGTATTTTTTTAGTAGAGATGGGGTTTCACCATGTTAGCCAGGATGGTCTCAACCTCCTGACCTTGTGATCCACCCGCCTCGGCCTCCCAAAGTGCTGGGATTACAGGCTTGAGCCACCGCGCCCGGCCCATAATGCCATTTTCAACAGTGGCTTCACCATGGAAATGTGATGGATGCTAATTCTGCTGCCAAGTGAGACAATAGTTCAATGCCTGTAGGACATCCTTTCAATATGTTGTTTGGTCAGAAAAATCTTATGGGAAGAAATACAGCTGTAAAATGGGAATTCTGTCCTGACTGGACCATTAACTGTCTAAGCACTAGAGCAAACGCCTCTACAGGGAGGGTGCTACAACAACGACACTGTCGAAGTGGCTGCACATTTAATGCCGAAAGGCTGGCAGACCTGTGAAGTGCAGAAGAAGGAAGCAGGCACACTATACCTTGGCAAGGTCATACAGCTTTGCTGCCTCTTCAAACAGTCCTTTATTTTCTGCCACGGAAGCAACTTTGTTGATAATAGGCTTTGTGTCACTAGTAAACTTATCTATGACTCCAGGCTGACAAGACAAATTATGGAGGGGGAGGAAGAGACAGACGGGTGCACAGAGCTATTATTTTAAACAAAGAGACGCAATTAGGACCCAAAAAATACTTCAAGTGAAATTGCTTGCCCTGGGCAATACATGTACTCCATCAGCCAGACTCTGGCTTTCTTGAAGATATAAAGTCCTATTAAAACTATAAAAGAGACCAAGGAAACTACACATGAAAGGGCAGACTTACTAGAAGCACAGAGGAGTCAGCAATAAGACATCTGTGCTTTCTAATTTTCCAAAATGACCCAGAGAGTCAGTGAAATCAATGATTTTAAATTTGCTGATGAGTAGGAACCACAGAGAAAAAGCAGGAGGCTTAGAGAAAATATCTGAAAGATTTTGGATTTGTTTTCTAAGACAGATGGCAAAAGGAACTCAGTGCTGAAAAAACACATGGCAAGTGGTAACAGGACATTTCTTAAAAAAAAAATCACCATCACCACTCGACAGCAACTAAATGCTCAGGAGAGCATGAGAGAGGCCTTAGGTACCCTGGGAGAATGAAGGCAAGTGCATAATATCTCTGCCTGGCCATTCTGCTTCTCCACCGGCACTGGACTCTCAGGGCTGGACCAGGTCGAGGTGACTTGCCCTGCCACTTGGGAGGCAGGAGAGGATAAGGTCTTATCTATGTTTCCAGCTCTGTCAACTCACACACACTGGAAGCCTCCTGGCCCCAGTACAGCCTGTTAAAGAAGAAACTATGCAAAGCACTCAGTACCATGCCTGGTGATTGTCATTGCCCAATAACCAAGGCCACTGTCATCAGCACTGTCACTTGCCTTTCTTCTGAGGTAGATGCTGTGAGCAGTGTGAGCTCATCTACAGATTGCTGGGTCCAAAACACTCATTTTTACAAATGAGAAAAGTCAGTCCCTGAGGGGCTAGTGACTTTCTAAAGGCCACAGGGAGATTCAGGGCCAGGACTGGTCTCTGACAACAGGATCTCTGACCCTCCTGCCATGACAACCAGTGGGCATAGTGAGTCCTGAAATCCCTCAGGCCTTCCAGGAGTATTTCCAGGGTCACTGTGGAGTTCAAAGCCCTTGGAAACTGCATTTTGAAGGAGGTCAAGTGCACATCTAACTTTTCCATCTTGGGAGAATGGGTGCAGTAATCAATTTCTTTTTCTTGCATGTTTTCTGAGCCAAGAATGGCAGAAATGTATAATAGCATTCTCAGCTCAAAAAATGACAGGCATGAACAAATGAATATTCTGAACATAATAAAAAAGCTTTGTAATCACAAATTAACATATTTTAAGGAGATATAAAGTGTGTGTAAAACCAAGGTCATCATCTGGGCCCATAATTTTCATTCCATTTTTTAAATTAAGCAACTCTGTTCAGATTTGCATCTTTAGTACCTTGAATCTTAAAATCTAAGTGTATTCTTTTGATATTTATAAATCCCCAACAGCTAACGAACATTTCTCTAAGGATGCATTTAACTCACCTTTCTACTTCCGTCATTCTCTAGTTTCCCAAGAATCATATCAAACTGTGGAAGGAAAAAAGTTTACTCAAATTATTGGACAAAGATATAAACATAATCCATAAGTCTTTAGAGAAAAAAGAGAGGAATCAAATGGGATGAATGGGATAAGTCTCACGCAAACTAAAAATCAGTGTGACTGAAATAAATATTTTCACTGTTAGAAACCAATGAAACTCTAAAAACTCCCTAGGCCTTATCCACCACAACCATATTGAAGTAAACATGCAGTACGGAATGAACATGGGAACATGCACACTGAAAACCATGGGGAGGAGAGAAAAGGAAACCCACTTACCTCTCGGCTTTCAATCACAAGCTCACTCACACAGCGCAGAAACATGTTTTCTCCTTGACTATCTTTCTCATCCCTGTAAGGGAAAAAAATCAACTCAGTTTCTAGTCTGGATATAAGGTCTCTAACGGTCATTCTCAGAATGGCAGAAATTGAAACTAGCTGAAGTAAATGGTCAAAAGCAAACGTTACCTGAGGAAATAGAAGTACTGGAGGGCCTCCCTTGGGTCCGTGGACTCAAACTTCCGGGTGTACAGCATGAGGAGTCGCACAAAGTTCAGCCGCCGCATGCAAGGAGGGTCACCAGGCTCGTGGCTGACTGCATCGTGGGGGTCAGAATGGGTCACAACCACACTGCTCCTCTGACCCATGCAACCCAGAAACTATGGAAGCTGAATCCACAGACCCAGCAGCCTCTACTCCTGCAGCCCAGTCAATGTTTGCCAATATAAGCTTTGGCCAGTCCCTTTTACCACCCTATCCTCAATTTGTCCCCAGGCCCAGCGTGGAGAAAACAGCACTTTGCCTTAAATTACTAATATGTTGGTCTCTGAATGAAAAGATAATCCAACTGACCATTATGGCACATGCTCTGGGATGACTCTGCTACACCAATAAGGAACCCGCAGCCATTCATCCACATTTACTTCCTCTCTCTCCCCTGACTCTCTCATCCCAGTCTGGTATGCATATGCCTGACTGGGGTTTCCAATGTCATTAAAGCCAGGGCCCTAATGGGAATCAGACCCATAACTCTAGGGGCTGCTTCTTCACCATTTTCCAGGCAATCAGACTGGCCACAAAGCTAGCACTTTGAACAGCACTTTATATACTTAACTTCCAAGGGAATACCAATGCTTGGGGCGGGGAAGCAAGAACCACAACACTAATCATCTAAAAAGCTCAACTGTCCACATGCTCTAAAATGACTGGTACCCTTTGCTCAAATCCTTATTGGTTGTGGTTTTGTGGCCACCGTCGCCCGAAGAGGGACGTGCTGTGGTTACATTACTGTAAACCCAATCCCAAATACTCACGGAGCTGAGCACTCTGTCCGGAGGACTTTAAAAGCAACTTCAGCTCAAACAGCACCAGTGCTACATGGACAGCATGGCAGCGCAGCCGCTCCATGCGGAAAAGAAAGGCAATTGCTGCTTCAAACTGCGCTGTCAGGAACAGGACTTGGAAGTAGAGGAAGGGTTGCTGGTTCACCGTAAAGTGGGACTCGCCTGGGAGAGAGGAGAGGAGAGGAGATAAAACCAACTCAGAAAGAAGGTGCTTACTGGTGGCCCAACCTCCAGGCAGCAGCCTGTGAGCCCACAGGACTAGATGGGCAGGAAGAAAGCACCAGCATGAGCCTGAATTGATCAAGGGGGCCCTGAATACAGTAAACTGCCATGTGAAATGTGACCTGGCTCCTCCATCTTCTCTAGACCTCATAACATTACTAGAAATTTGACTGTGCTGTAAAACTCCAGCTGCTTGCGTTAGGTGGGAGAGAAACAGAGTTAAGGATCTTAAAATGGACCACAGAGAGTGTCTATCTCCTTTACCCTGTTAAGTCACTCAAGGAAAGAAATGCAGATTTCAAAGGAGTTTCAGTTTACTCATAGTCACAGAAATCTGAATGCAACAACTGGTAACCATTATTTGGAATCTTCTTTTCTTCTCAGTTTTTAAAAAATAGGGGGGAGGAAAGAAGAAAGGCTATTTCTGTCTCTCTCCTTTGTGCTCAGATCTAGTGACTAGTAAGATCTACTAGGAAGCAACAGCTACGTCTTCTTTGTCTCTCTCTGAGCATATGTCTACTAGAACAGTTCAAAGAATTAGAGAAAATAGATTTTTGTGTATGACCATATAAGTTTTATGCATTACTTAAGGCCACATGCCCTTTATTTGAATTTGGAATGGTAGGTTTGCTGTTTTGCCTTGACAATCTATAGGAGTTTTGAAAGAAAGACAAAAGTTCAGAGATGAAAAATTTTCCCAGAGGAAAACTGAGGTAGTCACCTTAAGTGGACAAGAGAAGGGAAAGGTGGTTATGTCCAGGATCTTACCGTAGTCTTCCAACAACTGTTTCTGGAACTGTGAGAGAGTCAGCCTGTCTTGTGGGGAGCTGGTGCCATCGTCGTCAAAACACACTTGGTTCAACTAAATCCCCAAGAGAAACACATGCATTAGTACAAACTACACCCTGAGCCACACGCACAGAGTTGTAGCTGTTCAGCAGCCATGCTCAATGATGTCAGCTGGAAGCTGTGTTTAAGGCTATGGTTATGAGCTGGGAATTACACAATAAAAAATGGGGACAGGAGACGAGGACCCCGCTGGTCCTGATCACCTTATTGGCATCATACATTATGCAGGTAAAATCTTTCTGCGGACATGAGCACAGAAAAGGGGTGAAGCCCTGTGTGGGCAGAGGAAACCATGCCTACCTTCAGCCACAGGTAATCCTCAGTTTTGTCTGCCACTTCACTCTGGTTGTCGGTGACGTCACATCTGCCAATGATACAGTACACGGCCCGCTTGTAGGGATCTGTATTGTTCCTGAGGGCTCTGCGGTAATGCAGCCGGAGCTTGTTTTCTGTAGCTGGGGACAATCTACAGACATAAAGGAACAGACAGATACACACTCAATAAAAATCCTCAAGGGCATCTGAAAGCATCCCAAGTCCCAAACATATAACAGCAGGGAAGCCTTCCTTCATCGGGGTAAGAGAGACTGTCTCTGCCCTATCCCCTCCCCTCAGCACCATCACTTTAACCTGACTTGCAACTACCAGCACCTGCATCTATTGGCCTGCCAGTTTTCTATTTGCTGAGACCTTCATGGACAGGTCAGAAATCCCAGGGAATTAGAACTCCATTCCACACCCCAGCAGCACTCAAGCAGCGATGGACAGGAGTGAATCCTTCCCTTAACTGTCTTAGCTCCTCTGTGGCCTCCACACTCCCTTATTCATGTGAGATCACCTCCTAAAAAAACAACTTGCACTCAAATCTCCTTCTGGGGGAACCTTAAGACATTAACCCTACTTTAATTCTAATATGAGCAAGACAGGGGCTTGTGGTTTGAGGCAATCTCTTGACATGACATTATTAATGCTGCCAAGAAAAGTATCCTAGTTTTTCACAAGTACAACTACAGTAACCGCCATCATTTCTTCTACATACATGTACATATATATAATAACCTCAGTTTGAGTATGAACTTAAGTCCAATTACATTAGCAAAAATCCAAGGAAAATTAATGCTTAGCAGTTCCTTAATGCAAGAGAACGTAAAGACTTAATGAATTAATTCAATGATTATATTTCAATTTTACTAACTTCTAATTCTAGCCTTTAAGCTATGAAGTACATGACAACGTATTTCCATACTGGAAGCACTAAGTGTTAACAAATGTAACTTTTAAAAAGTCCCATTTTATAAAGCATCCTTGATGTGCCTTAGATTTACAGAACAACTCACATCATGCTCCTGAGCCAGCCCCTCCCTTGTAGGAACAGGAAAATTCCCAAACACAGATGCACGCATGCCTAGACATCAGCATCAGAATGGGGCATTCTTCTAATCCTTTCACTCTTTATTCCCAAGAGAGTTCTATTTGCTTTCAAAACCTCCTTTTTCCCCCAAGCAGAAACTTGTTTTGGGCCTGTCCAGGGAAAAGAGAATAACGACAGGGAAGGTCGCCCCTTTGATTCTGCACGGCTACCACTGGGCGTGCCACCTCATTTACCATACCTTCTGTCCTTGCTGTTCATGTACTCCTGGAACCAGGTTTTAAACTCTCCCAGCTGGTGCTGGGCTCGATTAACTACCTGTGAAGCGGCAAGCAGGTCTCCACAGCGCATGCAGTAGTAAATTAGTGCCCACACAGGATGGCCTTCTACCTCTCCATCCTAAAAGAGGAACAGTAAGTGCTCAAAATAAACAAAAAAAAGCTGAGCTGACTGCTTTCATATGTGCTAAAACCAAGCTAAGCCCCTCTCCTTAAAATAAGTCACTTAATGTTCACAACAGCTCCCTGCGGTGAGAACCATTAACAGCCTTTTCCTCCCTGTTTTACAAACAAGGAAACTGAGGCATGGAAGCGTTAAGTCATCTGTCCAAGTAAGCTGTTAAGTAACAATATGGCTCCAGAGCTTTTCCTCTGAAGCGCTATGTACCCCACCTGATCCAAAGTTACCCAGTGGTTTTTCCATGGAACCCCAGGGGCCCACAGTAACTGGGTGACGTTCTTTTGTGATAACATATACACATGCACTCCTACAACCCCCACAAAGCAAGGGCTAAAGATGTCACTGACCAGTAAGAGACTACCCTTATAGTACTCAAGTTTATAAAACGTCATAAAAATTTTACTCAGTATCTTGGTGTCAGGTACTGCTGGGCACTAGGGGATCTGAGAGATAGCTCTGTTCCCACTCTCTGAATACTACAGCTTATTTATCCCAAGTCTGGTTTTGCCATTTGTCTGCACAGCGGCCTGCGCTTACGCTTCTCTCTTTGCTTTTCTTCAACTCCTCCAGAAATAGGCCTCAGGCCTCCTTTCTTGGCACTTCCACCCTTCCCTCAGCAGGACTCTCTCTAAAACCCAGATCTGAACTTGCCCACTTAAACCCCTTTGAGCTGTTTAAGTCCAAAGTGCTGGGCCTGGCACTTAAGGCCTTCACTAGTGGGCCCCAAGCTTGCCAAGCCCTACTGTGCACCCAGTCCTCCAGATACTCTCTCCTGCCTCCATGCATTTGTGCATGTGTTACCTCCTCCTGGTATACTCTTTTCCAAAACTTGGTTGGTGAACTCCTATTCTTTAAGAGCAAGTGAGAATCTCACCTTCTTTATGCAGCTAATCTCGTCTGTATCCTGCCACCCTTTGCATAAGGCTCCAGTTTAGCACTTTGCATTACTGTATGATAATCTCCCCAACTGGACCATGAGCTGAGAAGAGACCACATCCTAAAAACTACATTCAACTCCATTCTTCCAGCTGTTTTAGTCAAAAATCTCAGAAGTCATCCCTGACTCTGCCTCTCACACTCAAATCCACGTTCTTCAGCAAGTCCTACTGGCTCAGCTTTCAAAACATGTCAAGAACCCAATGGCATCTTCTCCATGCACTCTCCTCCACCCTGGGCTGAGCAACTACCACCATCACCTGGACTTCTATACTACCAGCCTCCTAAGAGGTCTTCACCTTCTGTCGTCACCCCTCTCTGAACTCATCTCCATACAGTAGTCTCCACACATATCCTCATTTTAACTGAAAATGCCAATCTGAGGGCAACTGCTCTGGGGGTGTAACTGATCACACAGAGAAAGTTGTCAGTACCTGTAGTCCAGGCAAGGGAGCTGGAAGTTTAATGTTCAGGAAACTTCGAACCAATTGGTAAGTCCCAGGCACCCCTCCCAGCTGGGCCTGATGCAAATTTCCAAAGACAGTCACAAGGGTGTAATTCTTATAACTGGAAAAATTTTAAAGGAAAAAACAGGGAAGATTGAAAACATTTATTACACATCTCTATGCCCATATCCATGACATTACACTGTAGCTTGGAAGGGCAGGGCCTAGACTTCAAGCTCAATGCAGAAGAGGAAACAATACATGCTTAATGAAGCAAACTATATTATTTACTCAGTGGGCTGTGGATCACAGTAGATTTCTCATCACTGCGGAAACTCAAAAGAATCCCTGGAGGAACACAACTATGGACTTCAAATACATTAAGGGTGGATATACAGAATAATAATCGCTCCAGCTCACAGCCTAATGCTCTGATGGGTTCTTGTTAAACTTTTTATTTTGAAAACTTTCAAACCTACAAAAAGTTCAATGAATGCACATAACCTTTTACCTAGATTCACCAATTTTTAACATTTCTTTATGTTTTCTCTCTCCACACACACATAACATACACACTTGTGCTTTTTTCTCCCCCCAAACCACTTGAAAATACATTATAAAAATCAGGGGCTACTTTATCTGTAAATACCATATGGCTCTGAAGAACTAGGACCTTCTCCTGCCTAACCTCCATATCATTGCAATACCAAGAAACTTAACATTAATTTCTTATTATTATCAAAAATATAACCCAATTTTTTAATAGTTTCCTTTACAGTTTTTAAATCCAGAATCTCATCAAGAAAATATAATTGTCAAGCCACTTTCCCTTAATCTAAGATAATTCCATTAATTCCACCATTATTTTTCTTTCATGACAATGATCTTTTTCTTTTTTTCAAGAGGCAGGGTATTGCTGTGGTTCCCAGGCTGGGAAGCAGTGTCTATTAACAAGTGCTCTTATTTTTTTTGAGATAGATTCTCACTCTAGACGCCCAGGCTGAAGTGCAGTGGCGTGATCTCGGCTCATTGCAACCTCCGCCTCCTGGGTTTTCAAGCATTTCTCTTGCCTTAGCCTCCCAAGCAGTTGGGATGACAGGCGCGGGCCACCAAGCCCAGCTAATTTTCATATTTTTAGTAGAGATGGAGTTTCACCATGTTGGCCAGGCTGGTCTCGAACTCCTGACCTCAAGTAATCCACCTGCCTTGGCCTCCCAAAGTGCTGGGATTACAGGCAAGAGCCACCACGGCTGGCCCATAAGTGCCTTTAAAGCACTCTACAGCCTCAAACTCCTGGGCTCAAGCAATCTTCCTGCCTCAATCTCCTGAGTAGCTGGGGCTAGAGGTACATGCCACCATGCTCAGCTGGACACTGACCTTTTATTTATAGAGTCCAGGCCAGCTGTCTGGTAGAGTATCTAAGCTGGATTGTTATTTGATTCAGGTTCAACTTTTTTGACAGTAGCCCTACATAGCTAATGCTGGCATTTCCCACTGAATCCCACAATGACATAGGTAGCAGGTTTACTTCTTTATTGGTAACACTAGATTTGATTCACTTGCTTGAAAAGTGTCCATCAGATTTCTCCATTACAATTTATTATTATCTTTGTACTTAACAAGTAATCTGTGGGGCAATACATGGACGTCATGTAAGTATTCTATTCAACAATCTTTTACTCAACGGTTTTACTTTCCATTGATGGTCCTTGCTGAACCAGTTATTACACTGGTGGTTGCAAATTGATGATTTTTCTACCATTCCCTCTTCATTTATTTACTAGCATGCTTCTTAAAATCCTCTGTAGTAGTTTTAAGTGTTTCCATACCAAGATTAAATAGTCCAATTCACAGATACCCAAATATGTGGTTAATGTAATAACTTTCTAAATATAGTATGTTCTTGTCAAAAACCACAGACTACCTCAAAAAGTCAGGTTTTCAACACCAGGTTAAGTAAAACAACAGAGAGAGTGAAACAAACAACCTAAATCTTAATAACAGGAAACAGACTCAACAAAAAAAAATTTTTTTTTTTTTTTTGAGACGGAGTCTCGTTCTATCCCCAGGCTGGAGTACAGTGGTGCCATCTCAGCTCACTGCAACCTCTGCCCTGCGGGTTCAAGTGATTCTCCTGCCTCAGCCTCCTGACTAGCTGGGTCTACAGGTGTGTGCCATCATGCCTGGCTAATTTTAGTATTTTTAGTACAGAAGGGGTTTCACCGTGTCGGCCAGGGTGGTCTCAATCTCCTGACCTCGTGATCCGCCCGCCTCGGCCTCTCAAAGTGCTGAGATTACAGGCGTAAGCCACCATGCCCGGCTGACTCAATGAAATTTTATGCGGTTATAAAAAAAAAATACTCAGACTTCAAGAACAGGGGGGAAAAAAGAAATATAACAAGGTAATAGGAGCCTCTAGATGGTATACGGGTCCTCCCCTCTTTTTTCAAGTCTTATTTTTAGCATCTTCCAAAGTTTCTATAATAAGCATGTATCATTTTTATAATGAAAAACAAACAAAATTTAACAAATGTTAATGAGTTCCCCATCACTGGAATTTTTATTTATTGATTTATTTTAGACAGAGTCTTGCTTTGTTGCCCAGGTTGGAATGCAGTGGCATGACCTCGGCTCACTGCACCCTCTGCCTCCTAGGTTCAAGTGATTCTCCTGCCTCAGCCTCCCAAGTAGCTGGGACTTGTGCCAAGCGTGTACCACCATGCCCAGCTAATTTTTGTATTTTTGTATAATCGGGGTTTCACGATGTTGGCCAGGCTGGTCTCGAACCCCCAACCTCAGGTGATCCATCCACCGTGGCCTCTCAAAGTGCTGGGATTACAGGCATGAGCCACTGCGCCTGGCCTGGAAGTATTTATAAGCAGAGGTTGGATAAGAAATTGAGGAGTCCTGTAGCAGCCAGGACAAACAGATGCCCACTATGGTCTCTTCCAATTTGAATTAAGACAGTCCATGTGCTGACAGGGGCCTAAACTGAAGAAGTCTAAATTCCTTGAGGGCTAAGATATATATATCATGCCTTAAATCTTGGAATGTGGCAGGGAAGAGACAGACCAATCCTACATTTTCACAACATTTCAGCCTTATAATTGAAAAATTATTTAGGACCGGTCTACTTTGCCATCTGGTGCATTGTATCACTTGAACTATTATATGCATACTGTCAGTGAATGAGCAGCAGAGAAAAATATTTTAACACTGAGTATAATTATTCTAAAATATCCCCTTTATCAAAGGTGACAATGAATGCTTACAAAAGATGCCATCAGAGAGTGATGCCACTAGAGTGAAAAATAAACTTAAGATTACAATTATGAAAGGAAATTCCCAAATAGCTCCAAGAAGCACTGTTAAAGAAATTAATGGAACAAGATACTTTTAAAAACTAAACGAAAAGACTTAAAGAAATGGACTGGCTTACCGGCGATTTAAAACCAAGGAAAGCAGCCTAGTACCACTGGTGAAGTCAAGCACCAGTGTTAAGGATTAGAGTGATCAAGAAAAAAGCAGTCATGAGCAGTCATACACTTACACTCACTGAAAAAAATAAATAAAAATAAAAAAAAATCCTAAGCCAGGCACGGTGGCTTACGCCTGTAATCCTAGCACTTTGGGAAGCCGAACCCAGTGGATCACCTGAGGTCAGGAGTTCGAGACTAGCCTGGCCAACATGGTGAAACCCCATCTCTACTAAAAATACAAAAATTAGCTGGGCATGGTGGCAGGCTACCATGCTACTCAAGAGGCTGAGGCAGGAGAATCACTTGAACCTGAGAGGTGGAGGTTGCACAGAGCCAAGAGCACACCATTACACTACAGCCTGGGCAACAAGAGCGAAACTCCATCTCCAAAAAAAAAAAAAAGCTGCGCATGGTAGCACACACCTCAGGAGGCTGAGGTGGGAGGACTGCTTGAGCCTGGGAGGGAGAAGTTGCAGCGAGCCCAGATTATGCCACCACACTCCAGCATGGGTGACAGAGCCAGACCCTGTCTTACAAAAAAAAAAAAAAAAAAATTCCTAGAAGTTTTTGTATAGCATAAGAAGTTCTGACTCATTTTGCCGACTGGTAACGAATAAATGCTGCTACATATGTAGGTTCTTTACGGCTGAAGATTGATAAACCCAAAACAATCACAAAAATTCAGCCAACGCTTAGAAGAATTATTTTATAAACCCTTTATTCCTATACTAGGAGAATAAAAATCCATTTTGAGCTCCAGATTTTTCTTAACCAGGGAATGGAAGCTAGTGAGTGTAATGTGTCTGATGGTGTTCATTTCAGTAGCTCTCGTCTAATTAATATAGTATTTGGTATAAAAACCTATTCTCCGCTGTACCAAGTTTGAATTACCTCAGTAACATACAAGGAAATCTTCTGACTTCCTAAGGAAGTATTGTTTTATTGACAAAAGGCGATCTCACTGCAAGGCTGCTGGCAGGTGCAGAGGCTCAGTGGCAAAGGCCTGTAATTTTGCAAGTGTATTCAACTTGGCTTTCTCTTCTCAAGCCAGCAGGGAGGGGCCCAGCACCCTGTCTCTAAAATAAAGAGATTCTATTGCACACTCATGGCAATCCCTGCTGGCCAATTCAGAATTGGAAGGAGTATCCACAGGGAGGGATGATGGCATGGGTCCTACTAACAAAGGGAACAATACTTTGGGCACAAAGGCACTGCCACAAACCCCTCAGTGACCAGCTCTGATTGGTGAGGAAGTGGCAAAGAAACCCGGGCATAAATCACAGGCATTATCAGCTGGGAATGACCCTGACTTAGGGGAATTAACCAAGTAGAGTCAGAAAATAAGGGGAAAGGAGTTTTCCTAGGGTTTGAAGGTAGTAACATGCCTGGGAGTAAAATTAGAATGTGGAGAGAAAAAAAAGAGCCTAAGGAGTAATGGCTGAACCACATTAGAAAAAGATTATGACCTAAGGCACTATGGCTTTACGTATTAAGAGACAGAGTATGGAGAAAGAAAAAGGGAATTCGAACAGTGCTCACCTACCATGATTTTTTAATGTGTGATTTTTATTTTAATGTGTGACTGCAGAAACAGTCCTGGTAGGTAAGTAAAACAGGATTTCTGAAACAAGATTACAACTCTGAGCCTTGTTCAATTTAACATAATAAATCTTTTTTTTTTTTTTTTTTTTTTGAGACAGAGTCTCGCTTTGTCGCCCAGGCTGGAGTGCGGTGGCGCCATCTCGGCTCACTGCAAGCTCCGCCTCCCAGGTTCACGCCATTCTCCTGCTTCAGCCTCCGAGTAGCTGGGACTACAGGCGCCCGCCACCACGCCCGGCTAATTTTTTGTATTTTTAGTAGAGACGGGGTTTCACCGTGTTAGCCAGGATGGTCTCGATCTCCTGACCTCATGATCCGCCCGCCTTGGCCTCCCAAAGTGCTGAGATTACAGGCGTGAGCCACCGCGCCCGACCATAATAAATCTTAAATTATACCAGCTACAGCACACTTAACCTGAGGACAACTTAAGATCTGAGAAACGGTTGACTGCAAGGGATTTGAAAGCCAGCCCCACTGTGCTATTGCTGCCTTACCTCTGCTCAAGGTACGCCAAGGCCTGCCTGACAAACTCCATGCGCACTTCCACGCTGCTGCGGTTCTTCAGGGCATCAGTTGCCGGTGTCAACAACACGTCTGTCATTTGTTTTACCATGGTCCACATGTCAGAAATGCTCTGCATATAAACAATACTGCATGTGACAATGCTGCAGGGTCAGAGAAATTATGTGGTTCTTTGTGGCACTCTGACCTCCAAGGCTGGCAGAGTAAGGTGGGGGATGAGGTTAATGTCATCTGTCTGTGACTGCTAGGCTTAAGCTCAGTGCAGAAGATGCGCCTCTGCTGGCCAGACTTCAGAGTTCCATCCACCGATAAGCACCCCCTACCCCTGCCCTGAGTTGGTTTTCATATCAATTACTATTCCAGGTCTGACATAACCACATACATAATTAAAACTACACACAAGTTGCAAGAACACTGAATCTCAGCGGGTTATCCCTTCAGAGAGCAGGAATCCATTTACGGTCATCCAAAGTTCTAGGAGTTTAAACTCCAAGAGCTGCATTTCAGTCCTTACAAGGTTATCTGAGTTTCTAAAGGCTTAAAATAAGAGTTTAACCTAATAATACAGGTTTTCGTCCTCCCAGAGACGCTCCAGGGGCCACCGCTTTTACCTTACTTGGTGAGTGTCACAGCCTCCCATTTTCCTTCCCACTCACTCCCTTCAAAAGATGCCTCCCAGGAAAGGAGCGGGCGTTCTTTCCTCTGTGTTACCACCACACAGCTGGGACTCCCTCTCCCCAGAATCCTTCTGCCTGTAAATCGCTCCTTAAAAACAACGTGTTCCCTGAACCCTTGGCAATACTTTAAATGTATGAATCCTTAGAGGATAGCACTGATTGGAGAAAAAGGTTTATACTTGTTCCAAAGCAAAAGAGAAAAGCCTGTTTTCATGGTCTCTCTCAAAAATTAAAACTTCAGACTGTCCAGACAAATGTGACTCTTCCTAGGTGGTGGAATGATTGGTGAAACCTGACTTTCTTCTTTAGATCTGTTTAGGTTATCTTATATTTTACTATTTAAAAAAATTAAGTTCGAGACCATCCTAGCCAACATGGTGAAACCCCGTCTCTACTAAAAATACAAACAATTAGCCAGGCATGGTGGCAGGTGACTGTAGTCCCAGCTACTTGGGAGGCTGAGGTAGGAGAATTACTTGAACCCAGGAGGTGGAGGCTGCAGTGAGCCCAGATCTCACCATTGTACTCCAGCCTGGGCAACAAGAGTGAAACTCCATCTCAAAAAAAAAAAAAAAAAAAAAAAGAAAAAAAAATTAAAAGTTAGATACTTTTTTTTGAGACAGGGCCTCACTCTTTGTCACCCAGGCTGGGGTACACTGGCATGATCATGGTTCCCTGCAGCCTTGACCTCCCTGGACTCAGGTAATCCTCCCACCTCAGCCTCTCAAGCAGCTGAGACTACAGGTGCATGCCACCACACCCGGTTAATTTTTCTATTTTTTGTAGAGAGGAGGTCTTGCCATGTTGCCCAAGCTGGTCTTGAACTCCTGGGTGCAAGCAATCCACCAAACTCAGCCTCAAAACGTGCTAGGGTTACAGGTGTGAGCCACCACACTGGGCTGAGCAAGTTTTTAAAAGACAAAAAAAATCTGTGTATGGGTGCTTTCTTCCATAATAGCCTTCCCTCCTTTCTTCCTTCCTCCTAGCCACCTACCAAGTAGTCATCCATCCACTTATTTTTTTATTTTATTTTTATTTTTTTGCCCCTTGGAGCAGAAAACTGGCCAGAAGTAAGGGGTGAGGGAGGAGAATAAATAAAGGCAGTATATGTGTTTGTCAGAGGAATAGAACCAGTGGTACATCAAGAATGCTCACAAAAGTCCCACCTGAGTCAAGTTCGAGGGCTCACAGGTGTGAAAAGCCATCACCTTGACAATTCAGCTCTCATTAAGGAGTCTATTGCTTGTGTAAGGAGGGAAACTGGTAAGTGGGGAGTAAAAGCTTGATGGGACTTCAAAGCAAATACGGCTTGAAGAGAACTCTTGTGACTATCAATTGATACTGGCAGGGCCTTTTGAAGACGCATTTTTAAAAATTCATCATCAAGAAAACCACCCAAAGTTATTTAAAATAAAACTCTGAGGAACAGTTAACATTTCATTCCACAGAATGGGGTGTTTCCACAGCACATTTCAGCCAAGTCGGCAAGCTGCTAGCCTCATCAAAACACTGGACCCCGGTTTCTACTTGAGTTAGCTCTAGGTTCTACCTTATCATCCAGCTCTGCGACGGAAGAACAAAGGTCCACCAGGTTAGGCTGCAGGTGTCCGTTTACAATTTTCTCATTATAGATATAAATCTGAAATGATAAAAAGCAAAGTAAATGGCACAGTATCTACTTTCTCTTTTTAAAACCCCCTGAAGCAGGCAATGGCCGGCAGAAACTTCAGCCAACCTTTCCTTCCTTGGAGTGGCTGAGCCATGCACACTGGCCAGCTCCCCAGTTGTGCTGGGGCTGTGGATAACACACTAAAGCTAACTGCCACCCCCGCTTCCAAACACCTGAGGAATGGGAGCAGCGGGGTCCAGGGGGAGAAGAACCACAGGCAGGTCTATGCCTCTCTGTCCTAGTGAGGAAGCACCCGGGGAAGACAGGAGAATGGAAGGGGTCTGGCTGCTGCTTTCTAATAACCAAGGCAAAGGACTCAATTCTTTCAAAATGACGGAATGGCCCTGGTATAGGGTTCATGGATGGAGTGAGGAATGTTGGGCACTGCCTCCCTCCACAAGTGTTAGAATAGCAGGAGAGGCACATGTGGAATATCCATTTCTCCTGGAAAGAATCTCTGTTCTTCAGGTAAGATTTTCTTTTTTTTTTTTTTTTTTTTTTTGAGACAGAGTCTCGCTCTGTCGCCCGGGCTGGAGTGCAGTGGCCGATCTCAGCTCACTGCAAGCTCCGCCTCCCGGGTTCACGCCATTCTCCTGCCTCAGCCTCCCGAGTAGCTGGGACTACAGGCGCCCACCACCGCGCCCGGCTAATTTTTTGTATTTTTTAGTAGAGACGGGGTTTCACCGTGTTAACCAGGATGGTCTCGATCTCCTGACCTCGTGATCCGCCCGTCTCGGCCTCCCAAAGTGCTGGGATTACAGGCTTGAGCCACCGTGCCCGGCCAAGATTTTCTTAAGGAAAATGAACTATGTGATATTTAAGCTATGGGAAAACCACTCTTACTTTGGATTTTATTTTCAAGGAGCTAAAATGATGATAGTAGAAATCGTAAATTCACTCTTCCAGATTTAGAACTAGTTAAATCCTACTACGGAAGTGAACAGGACTTAACTAGTTAAGATTTAGAACTGTAAGCTCTAAATCTTAACTAGTTAAGTTCTAAATCTTCTTGTGGAAGATTCCACTTTGTATATGAAGTCTTTGCTCTCCCAAAGTAGTGATGTTAGACAAATCACGACTCTGCTGAACTGTAGTTTCCTCCACGTTAAATGGGGAACATCAGTATCATTCATCTTCCAGGGCTGTTATGAAGATTAAATGGTTTTGCTGGGCGCAGTGGCTCATGCCTATAATCCCAGCACTTTGGGAGGCCGAGGCGTGTTGCGGGAAGTCAGGGACTCTGAATGGAGGGACCGGCTGAAGCCGCGGCAGAAGAACATAAATTGTGAAGATTTCATGGACATTTATTAGTTCCCCAAATTAATACTTTTATAATTTCCTATGCCTGTTTTTAATCTCTTAATCCCGTCATCTTCTTCGTAAACTGAGGAGGATGAATGTCGCCTCAGGACCCTGTGATTGCGTTAACTGCACACAAATTGTGTGCAGAGCATATGTGTTTGAACAATATGAAATCTGGGCATCTTGAAAATAGAACAGGATAACAGCGATGTTCAGGGAACAAGAGAGGTAACTTTGAACTGGCCGCTGGTGAGCCAGACAGAACAGAGCTACATTTCTCCTCTTTCAAAAGCAAATAGGAGAAATATCGTTGAATTCTTTTTCTCAGCAAGGAGCATCCCTGAGAAAGAGAATGCGCCCTGAAGGTAGGCTTACAGACGGCCCCTTTAAGGTGTGCTGTCTTTTATGGTCGAAGCCGAAGGGATGAAATAAGCCCTGGTCTCCTGTAGAGCTCCCAGGCATATTAGGACGAGGAAATTCCCGCCTGATAAATTTTGGTCAGACAGGTTGTCTGCTCTCACACCCTATTTCCTGATAAGATGTTATCAACGACAATGCGTGCCCGAAACTTCATTAGCAATTTTAATTTTGCCTCATCCAGTGGTCCTGTGATCTCGCCCTGCCTCCATTTGCCTTGTGATATTTTATTATCTTGTGAAGCATGTGATCTCTGTGACCCACACCCTATTCGTGCACTCACTCCCCTTTTGAAAATCGCTAATAAAAACTTGTTGGTTTTATGGCTTGGGGTACATCACAGATCCTGCCGACATGTGATGTCTCACCCAGACACCCAGCTTTAAATTTCTCTCTCTTGTGCTCTTTCCCTTTATTTCTCAAACCAGCCGAGACACTTAAGAAACAGAAAAGAACCCACGTAAATATCGGGAGCGGGTTCTCCCGATAGAGGCGGGTGGATCATCTGAGGTCAGGAGCTCAAGACCAGCGTGGCCAACATGGTGAAACCCCGGTATGTACTAAAAATACAAAAATTAGCCAGTTGTGGTGGTGCATGCCTGTAATCCCAGCTACTTGGGAGGCTGAGACAGAAGAACCGCTTGAATCTGGGAGGCAGAGGCGGAGGCTTCAGTGAGCTGAGATCGCACCACTGCACTCCACCCTGGGTGAAAGAGCAAGACTCCGTCTCAAGCACCCAACCAACCAATCAATAAAATGGTTTTAAACCATGATGTAGTACTTATTCACTCAATGAGCATTTCTTACAGGCCTTCCTTTGCAAGGTACTGTTCAACATGGGATATAAAGCTTCACTGTTTAGTGGAGAGGACAGCCGTGTAAACAGACACAATATTTCGGTGTTGTATGTGCTATGAAATGTTAATGACATCTTTAGTCCTTGCAGGTGTAGAAGACACAGTCTCTCTCTTCAGAAGCCTGTAATTCATCAGGACTCTCTCCATGGCAATAGAGGAGTCAGCCATACAATGAAGGTGACGAGTAATGGATGCAGATGCACAGGGGGAATAAAAAGAGAGAGGTATAAAATTGGAGCAGGAGGAAATAAATGAAGGCCAGTGGCAAAACATGAGGGGGTTGGAAGGAGGGGATCTCATGTGTGGGAAGTTGATGAAGCTGGGGGCTTCAGCTGTCTGGAGTTTGAAGTGGCAATGGCACCCCAAAGAAGAGAGATTTTTAAAAAGACATTTAGAAAATTTCTCTCAAGAAAGGGTAAAAGAGGGACTTCTGATAATACCATCAGCTAACCAGGTAACTCAATTCATGTGGAACTCCACTGACTAAATAACTGGCAGTTGAAGAGAGGGACCTTGGTAAAAGAGCACAGGGTCTAACAGTTTCTCACTGCCTCCTGCTCACCTCCATAGCTGCTCTGTTTTTGCCTCCAACCACCCTACTCCAGGCTGGAGGAGGATGAGGTGGGTAATGTTGAGGGCCATAAGTGGGACCCCCGGGACCCCCTCAAAGAATCCAGGAGGTGATAATGGCTGAGCAGATATTCCTGGACCACTGCTGGTGGAGGATAATCTTAAGGGGATGAAGGCCCACTGCCCTCAATTCAAGAAACAGGAATATTTTTCCTTCTTTGTACTTTGTGGGGAAAAGCAGCAAATTACAATAAAGCACAAAGTCAGCTGGCACTGCTTTATTTAAAAAGTCAGTTCCAGGTTATGTATGGTCCTCAGGGTGGTTTCAGTCCAACAGAATTCCTGTGCTTACCACAAAGCATCTCAATCCATATCCATATTATTGGACGGTCCTCATCTACAACCAGAAGGATGATCCCTAAAATATTATGAGCTTTTCTAGGACAACAGTGGTATTAAGTAGTGAATACACTATGCTTATCAAGACAGAAAAGCATTTAGAAAATTTCTCTCGACAAAGAGTGAAAAAAGGATTTGTTAATACCACCAGCTTACCAGGTAAGTCAGTTAATACAGAACTCCATTTGCTAAGCAGCGCAGTTACCTGAAGCTTTACTGTACATGGGACTGTTGCCAAAAATGCATACTGAGATGCTGTGGTCAGTGTAAAGGACAGATTTCAATTTCCTCAAATCAAATGTGAGTAATTCTATTACCCTATTTGATAGAATTCTCCAGTGGCCTATGGTAAAATATTAACTAGTCCTCTAAATGAAAAAATACAACTTGCTTTCAGGGTTTGACTTTTACAAGTTTTTGTTCCCTTTTATTCTCTAGAGGTTCACAAAGGAATTTCCTGGCTTAATCCCCCTTGAGAGCACACTCACCTGCCGCGCATAGGCCATCTCAATGCTATCCAGAGAGCTTCGACCAGGGGGTCCCACGTCACTGATGTAGCTTGGCTGTGGATAAATACATATTCAGAATCAGTTAGGGACAGTATTCAGCCATGTGAAGAAATAAAATCACATAAACATATTCTTGTCTTTGACAGAGCTGTTGAGAGTCTGTTTCCTAGTTAGGACTTCCTCAAAATGATGATTTTAGGGATTTCAATAACATGCAACTTTTACTGTGAACACATGAGAAGAGAGCAGGCATGGGACTGGATTAATTAAAAAAGAGTGAGGGGCTGGATAAACCCTATCGATATCTCAATGACTGTTTCTGGAAATGTATATCTTTCCAACATTCTGTTTCAATCTCAAGCTTCCCCTTGTCTTCACACTAGTGAGGCCATTGTTTTTATCAGTGGGCCTCTTTTTCATTAATCGTATCAAGCAGTTGAGGGAAAGCAGTTTAGAGAGTCAAACACCTGATTCAGACATTTCCACACTTGGGTCCACAGTAAGACAACAGTTGCTGATTACTTTTCTGTTATCTGAAGATGTGAGACGAGTGCAAGTTGGACCTTCATTCAGTTAATATTTGCTAAGTGTCTGCCACATGCACAGCTGTGTGTATATCCATCTCCATAAGAACAAAAACAAGCCAGCCTGCAAAGCCTGTCCCCAAAGAGCTTACAATCTGAAGAGGAGAGTCAGATAAAAATACAGTCATATATTACTTAACAATGAGGACAGGTTCTGAGAAATGCATCATTAGGAGATTTCGTCATTGTGTGAACTTCATAAAGTATACTTACACATACCAGATGGTTTAGCCCACTCCACACCTACGCTGTATGCATAGCTTATTGCTCCTAGGCTACATACCTGTACAACCTATTACTATACTGGATACTGTAGGCAACTGTAACACAATGGTAAGTATGTATATATTTAACCACAATTAAATATAGAAAAGGCACATAAAAATATGATATAAACTTATGAAGCCAGCCACCATCACACATGCAGTGCATGACTGTGTATGAAAAAAGTTTCAGTCTTTTTTAAGAAAGAATATTCATCTTTAGTTAAGCTTATTCGTTCTGTAAAGAAATACAGATCAAAATTAGGTAAATTCTTAAGTTCCCACTGATTAGTTTGTACTGTAGCATAGCAGAGATCAAATTCTTTAAGCTTATCTTATTTATTAAAAAAAGCTGAATGTTCTATACACTAAAATCTAAAATAAATCAGTTTAAACTAGGCTTTCTGTGAAACCAATGGAGATGATAACAGCCAAGCTTCCCAGCACTATGAAGCTGGTAAAAGGAAGAGTACAGTGGGCATGCACCAGGAGTTGGGAAGAAAGGGAAGGGGAGTTATCAGAAAGGCAGTATGAAGCCCTTGGTTCTGGAGAATGAACACTGGACTGTCAAGGATGCCTGGGTTCTAGGAGGGCCACTTCACTCCCTGGCTTTGGGTTCTGGAGCAAAGCACCTCCTCAGATTCCCATTAGTCAAATGAAGGGGCTATCCTAGATGATCTTGAGAGGTCCCCTCAGTTCTGATCTCCAACTATCACTGGTATTAAAAGAGCTTAAACAGTTCGCTGATCTTGGTAGATGCTGCTGGCTGGCCCAGTGACCATTCCCAATTCCTACTTCTCACATCTTTACCTTCTGCCACCTTTCAAGCTGGCATTTAGAGTTATTAGGTTGGTGCAAAAGTGATTGCGGGTTTTGCCATTACTTTCAATGGCAATCACTTTTGCACCAATCTAATAAATGTACCCAATAGTGTGCGGGTAAATGTTTTTTAACAGCCAGCTCATGGGAAAAGGGACGATGGCTAGCATTTGCTGGTGTCTGTGGTTTAAATTCTCCCACCATGGCAGATTTCAAGCTATTCAAGGCGATATCAACTATATTGCAAATTCCTTGAAAATTTAACAATAGGTCCTCATGTGCTGATCCCTATAAACCACTGAATATATCCTTTTCCAGAATCTACTACAGCAAGGAATGGCACACCCTAGTTCTAGCCAATAAGATGAAAACACAAGCCTGCTAGTATACCTGGGGACAGCTTCTGCTTTTATTGATTGGAGGGCTGAGGCGGGGGGACTGTCATGACTTTTCAGCTCTCTCCCCTTCTTTCTGCCTTGAATGCAAATATAATGTCTAGAGCTCCTACAGCCATCTTGTGAACCTAAAGTAGGTGGATGTGCTAGAGAGGGTAGTGTATCAGGACAGAAAGGTGTTGGGTCCCTGATGGCATTGCAGAGCAACTGGATTAACATCAACACTCTCCACACCTGCAGACATCTTCGTAGGTGAGAAATATACACCCCTATTCAAGCTACTAAACCTCAAAGTTTCCACTACTCACAGCTGAAAGCATTCCTACCTGAAACACAGATTTAATTTAAACACCACTGGGTTACAACAATAACAATAGCTATTAATGAGCACTTACTATGTGCCAAGCACTGTTTGAATTTCCATGTTATTAACTCCACAACCCTATGTAGTAGGTACTTTTATTTATTTATTCATCTTACAGGTGAAGACACAAAGGCACACAGAGAGGTGAAGCAATTTGCCCAAGTTCACTTCAGTAGGAAGCAGCGGCTTGAATCCACAGTCTGGCACCACACTCTGTACTCTTTGCCACTGCTCTATCCTGCCTGCCAGGGCAGCCCAGGGTAACTCTCCAAGAACAGTTATCAGAGAACAGTAGAGGAGGGAAGAGGAGGGAGGAGGGAAGAGAAGGAGGAGGAGTAAGAAATCCTGGATCCACTACTTATAACAATGTGACCTGGAGCATATTGCTCCCTTTAAGCCTCAGTTTCCTTAGCTGTAAAGTGGGGGGTGGTAATGGTATCCACCACATAGCATTGGGATGAAGGTTAAATAGGGACAAAAATAGTATGAATCCCTACCTCACAGCACTGTTGTGAGGAATAAGTGGAAGACCTCAACACAGTGCCCAACATATGGTCAATAAATGCTAGCTGTTATCACTTTATAAACAAAAAGAAACCACCACAACGAACACAGGAGCAAATCCTATGCTCAACAACAATGGACAGATATGGACACCTCAGAAATATGACCTAAAGTATTTTACTTTGTGTAGGCTGAAAGTCTCATTTCGTTTTTCTACAATGAATACACATTCCTTGTTTGATGGAAGCCCCTCCACAGCCAGGGCATTTTATACTTCTGGACTCATTCTGAGTCTTCCCATTAACACTGTATTAAGGACTGTTCTCTAAGACAGCCACCTTTCTAAAACAGAGCTATCCAAAAGCTGGAGATTCCACAGTCTTTTTACAGGACACAGCACTAAGCCCGTTAATTCCAGTAACTTAGTCAAGGAGAATAAACAAAGAAATGAAAAGGAGAACAGCACTAAAGCATTTTTGCAAGGACACAGTTGTTGTGGCTAAATATACATGAACAGCCTTGAGAAATATTTTCCAGTGCTAAAAACCTAATTTTTAAAATTATCCATTTAAAAAGTAGTTGGGTTTCAGCCTTCAAATTTCCATTTAAATTAATTTTGCCTAATGCTCTTGTTTTCAAAGGTACCTATCCTTCAGTTGCCCTTGACCAAGCCGCTATTTCACCACACATAAAGTCAATTATCCACAAGAGGATTGCACATTCCTGAACAGAGGAACCGGCAAATATTTAGCTGGAATTCCACAGCCAGGGATTGCCTGAGGGCTGGGAAAGCCACTAATCTCTGGGGTTCTCTGCAGTGGGGTCTGGCGGAGCCATAGCAAGGACGACAAGACAAGATGACAGGAGCAGAGAGCCAGAGATCAAAAGAGCAGGGAAGACGATAGGGTTTCTTCTTTTAGAGGAAAACAAGCAGCTCACCCAGGAGTCTGGAGACATATATGTGGAAAAACAGCAGCCTCTGGGAGTACAAACTGAGAAAGGTCTCATCAGAGTACATGGTGTTCCCAAGACAGCCATTCCAGGACAGGATGGGGATAGAAAGTGGCAGGAGGGAACTGCAAACTTTTATTAAGCACCTACTATCGTACAAAGTGTATCCAGGGATGCATAAAAATCTTTTCCAAGGAAAGCATATTCTAGTTAGAAAAAACGAAATGCAGGCAGGGCGTGGTGGCTCATGCCTGTAATCTTAGCACTTTGGGAGGCTGGGGGCAGGTGGATCGCTTGAGTCCAGGAGTTCAAGACCGGCCTGGGTGACATGGCGAAACCCGTTTCTACAAAAAACAAAAACAAAAATTAGCTGGGTGTGGTGGAGTGCGCCTGTAGTCCCAGCTATAATACTTGGGAGGCTGAAGCGAGAGGATCATTTGAGCCTAGGAAGCGGAAGTTGCAGTGAGCTGAGATTGCGCCACCGTATTCCAACCTGGGTGACAGAGACCCTGTCTCAAAGGTGGGGGATAAAAAGAAAAAAAGGAATGCAACTAGCACTCCTAGCAAAATGAATATAGGGTAGTAAGAAAATACGATGATGCTGCAGATGGAAAAGAATTTAACTTCTAAGTGGAATGTTTTGGCTTTATGTAAGCAAAATGGAAACACGGTGATTAATTCACAATAGTTAGCTTTAAAATATGTATGCAAAAGTCCAGTACTACCAGGAAAAAAACACCAACCAGGGACCAGAGAGGACGAGGGTCCTAAACACAACCCAGCTAATAATTGTGTGACCTTATTAACCCTACTAATGACTGTGTGACCATGGACAAAATGAGAAGAATACCTAAGCCACACATAGGCTGGAACACTATTATAACTACTAAAAAACGACAGACACCTACGTGTACCAATCTAGGAGAAGTTGTAAAATATGTACAACAACATAATGCAAAATTATAGGAATATACAAAATAATATCTATTTGTGATAATAAATCGATAAGATATACAAATGTGCATGTAAGCACCTTGGAGAAACTGGAAGGGTGTGCATCACTGACAGGTTGTGTTTGGGTGCAGGATGGGAAGAGCAGCAGAGTGGGTCTACACTCCTCTACTGTCAGAAGAGCACACAAGATCAGACAGTTTGTGTATGATACATCACGACA